GACCCACAAAAACACAACCCATCAACCTATAATAGGCAAAATAGATCAAACACCAAACAGAACAAGTCTGGTTCATCTCTTTTCTACCCCTTTTTTTTGTTTTAAAGAAGAACACATTCATTCCAAATAAAAATAAAATAAAATGAAACATTCATTAACAGAAAGAAAGGGAAACACAATTAAACTGAACATTTTCTTTATCTTTCATTGATTTTCAGTAAACATATACAAACGTAAACATCACAAAAGCATGTCCCGGAAACAGGAAGACAAAAGAAACAAACACGGCGGAGTTTTCTGGGTAACAGATCAGAGTCCGATCTGGCGGATCCCACCCACGAGATCAAGCCTAGATCATTCCCCTTACTGCCTCCCCAAAAAGACTCCTCTGTTGCAGGAAAATACCTAGCAAAAGGACGCTGAAATATCGCCGGAATCAGCTCGGTTTTCTTCTCTCCCTTTTCCCCCGAAACCCAAAACAATGACTCCCAGCAAACAGACCCCAAAATCAACCAACAACCACCCCTTTCAATCTGATTTTTCTCTCTATATATATACCCGAATAAAAGAGAAAAATAAAGATAAAAATAATAAAAAAGCCTTGCTCTGTCAATCAATATTAATGCTAATTTGTCTGGAGCTGTTGTAGCGTGCAGAGGCAGAGCAGCAAGTAGGGGGTTATAGGAGGTGTGCAAGAGGCATGATTGCCGGTGTGCAGAGTGCAGGCTCGGTGCAGAGGGGGTATGATTGCCGGTGATGCTGGCGTGCAAAGGGACATTATTGCCGGCAGTGGGTGGCGCAGAAGAGAGGGGATCTGGTGCAGAGGAAGGCTGGCGCAGTGCAGAGCTGGAGATTGATAGATTCGGTGCAGAGCAGGTGCAGGAAGCAAGGCCGGCAGTGAGGCGCAGAGTGCAGGCGCGCAGAGGCCAGGGATGCAGAGCTCGATGCAGAGCTGGGCGCATGAGCTAGGGGGCGTAGGAGCTAGGGGGCGTAGGAGCTAGGGGTGTTGAGCAGGCGTGGGAGTGCAAGGCTGGGCTCGGTGCAGAGGGGTAGGCCAGCTCGGTTGCAGAAGAGAGGAAAGATTGATGGGGAAGGAGAAGGTTCTAGATCCTTTTTTTTGTATGAGTTTTTGGATAATTGGGTTTTAAGTTGAAATGGGTTGGTGTTGGGTTGAGTTTGGGTAATTGTGGGTTTTGGGTTTTGGGTAATTTTTGGTTTTTGGGATTTTGGGTTTGGGTAGTTGGTAGGCTTTGGGTTTTGGGTAATTGGGCTTTGGTTTGGGTTTGATTGATTTTGGGCTAGACTTTGCATTTCACCCCTCCAACTTTCCATCTCTTCAATTGAGTCCTTTTTCTCATCTTCTTTTCCAATCTTCTTCGTGAAATTTCCTTTTTGCCCTCCCCCTTTTTCTTTGAATGAACCTAACAAGTAAAATAAAGACAAAACATATTAGATAAAATAAAAATAAAAATAAAAGAAAATTCTACTAAAATTTGAGTTATGACAACAACCCATACCATTCCTTTCCACTATCCTGCCATTTTTTTGGACCATCAATTTTAATTTCATTCATTAGTTAGGTTACATTGTTATAATTTGTATTTTTTTTCTCTAGTTTAAAATGAAGTGTAACTTTTTTTTTTTAATTGAGA